GGCCACAGAGCATGAAAACAAGTAACTAGGTAACAATTTACTCATAACTAGATAACATTATAGAGCAACTGGTTAACACTCTTATAAGAGCGTTAACCAGTAATACTAATATTGCTATTATTCTAGGAGGATTAACATCTCATTTACAACCTTTAAATGTTTTAATCAATAAGTCATTTAAAGTAAAGGTAAGATTTATTGATTTTATGGATTATTTATTTTATTTATTTTTATTTTTGATTTTAAATTGTATTATAAATTTATTTCCTATAGATGCGAAAAAATTATAATGATTGGATATCTGAATCTGTAAAAGAGTTAACACCTGCTGGTAGAATTAAAAGACTATCCTATAAACTGTTGTAAATTAGATTAATAGATCATAAAACATGATTGATATTAGTTTAATTTAATAATCTTTTAAATACTATGGTATTTCTAACAAACGTGATGGAACAGGAGATGGTTGGATTTTCAATTATGAACAACTTAACCAAGTGAAATCAAATGATAAAGTAGAGATTTTAGATCATGATAATAAAAATGATAAAGCAACAATATTAATAATAATTATTATGATAAAGAGAAGAAAAGAAATTATGATAATAAATGGAATTAGATAATCATGTAAACTTAAAAATAATGATAATATTATATAAAATATAATAAATCTTAATTAATATAATGATATTAGTGATACCTGACTAAACTCTTTTTTGAAAAATTGTAATTTTGTCAAAGTTTCGTCTCTTTAATATTTTTATATAAATAAATATAAAATTATTATATTTTTTAATGTATTTAATTCAAGGAATTTAGATCAAGTTAAATATAATTTCGTCATTAATAAAAAACTAGTTTTGTCATTTCAGTTTCATCAATTTCATCATATTAAAAAAGGTAATTTCGTCAGGTATCACTAAATAATATACAATGCATTTTTTTTAAAATATTATGATTAATCAAATTGATCATATAGTTACGGTAATTTTGATTGACATGTCAATCAAATTTATTGGTTAATTGATTAGTACCCCTGTATTAATCAAAAATTTTACATTTTGTAATTAATTAATATCTGTTATTATTCAAAGGGAATACTTTGCAAGGTGAGTACTAATGACAGCGCTATATAGTAATAACTTTTAAAATTCAATTTATTTTAAATTACCTTGAAAAGTATCTATTATTAGAATTTACAAAAAAGCTTTTCCTAAACAAATATAGTTTAATTATAAAAAAATAAAAAAATAAACTTAATAATAAACTTAATAATATATTTTTAATTATAGAAAAATTATTTAATACAAGAAAATAAAAATGTTGGTAAAGATGCAGATGCTATTATTTCTTTAGTTCACTATTATTTTAAAATGCATGGTCTTGAAGAAAAATGTTTCATTATTCATGCTGATAATTATTCTGGTCAAAATAAAAATAATACAATAATTCAGTATTTAGTATAATGAGTAATAAATGGTTTTCATAATCAAATAAAATACTGTTTTATGATAGTTAATCATATAAAGTTTTCTTCTTATGGGTTTTTTGGTTTAATCAAATTAAAAATGAGAAATTCAAAAGTCCAAAATCTTTCAAATCTGGTTTAAATTGTTTCTGATTCTACTATTAAAGAATTTAATACAGCTCAAATAATATATGATTTAAATAGACATCAGAAAATTTATTTTTATAAATAGACTGAATTTTTAAATAAAACATTTAGTAAGGTATCAATTCTTTAGCAACTTCATTTTGAAATTTTAAGTGAAACTCTTAGAAAATTGAATATTCAAATAAGAATTAAAGGGAGAAAATAGAAGTTTCAATTCTTAAAAAGACCAAACCTATTTGTTTAACTAATTTTTCAAATATTTTATTGTCTAAAAAATTATCTGTAGAGCACTATTGGTACTTATATGAGCAAATTCAGGAGCATGTTAGTAATCCAAATAAAAAAGATAGGTATTATTCAAAACCAGTTATATTAAAACCTAGTAAAGTTAAATCTTAAAATAAATAATTATTTATAAGTTATTATTAAATATAAAAATAATCATTAATTTCTTTGTTTAGTTTTTATTAAAATATAAATATTATCATATATTATTATTTTATTATAATAAATTATTAACAAATTAAAATATTAAATGAAAAGATAAAAATCTAACTGCTAATATAGCATAGGATCAAATCAAGTTACAAAAATCTTTAAAACAAAAGTTAAAAGTTGTTAAGAAAAATGAGAAAATAAAAAATCTCTCTGAATTTGCCACATAAAACTTAAAAAATCATTATTCCTAAAAGATAAAAATTTAAATTTATGATTATTAAAAAAGATATTAAAGAAAAACAAAAATACCAATGAAACTTACTCAAATTCATTACTCCTGAAAAAGGTATACCTTTTTAAAAGTGATGTTCTGACAAATAAATTTCTTACCATCAGATTTTACAACATTAAAGAACCTCATATTTGAAATTCTTTAGAATTACTAAATGACAAATTCAAAAGCAAATTGGTATAGTAATCTGAATTTAATCGAACCCAACTGATCTGATATTATATTTCTTTAAATTATAAAAAAAGAAAAAAAAGAAAAAGGAATGAACTTACTTTAATAGTTTATCAGGAATTGTTCATTCAGCTTTGTCCATTCATTTAGGTTCTATTCCTAAAAAATAGAGGAAAGGAAATGTTAATTACATTTCTTCAAAATAAAAAAATACAAAAAAAGAAAAGAAACAAATTTATCTTAATAATTTATCAGAAACTATTATTTAGTTTTGTTTATTTATTCAAGTTCTGTTTTTAAGGTCAATTATAATGCAAATGGACAAATAACATAATATGAAATTAAAAATTTTTTTTGAAAAGACACTTAAAATCTAAGGAAAAAAAGAAAAAGTTAGTTTATACTATATAAAAAGCAGATCCTTAAACTTATTCTAGAAGAAAAAATTATTTAAAAAAAAGTTAAAACTCGAAAAATTAAAAATGTTAACGATGTTATAAAAAAATTAGGTGTACTGTATAACTGTATAAATTAATAATTCAAAAAGTCAGCTATTCGAAAATGATCATTAGATGATATACTAAATTTAAACTATAAATTGGTTTTTGTCTAGTTTTTATTATGGTTTAGATATTCAATATAAACACATACTCATTTATCTCAAAATGTATGAAATAATAATTTAGTTTATTTTCTTAGCATTCCCCTCATATCTGTAATTGATAATACTAATTAGTATTTGAAATTCAAAAAGAACAATACAATTTTTTTTAATATTTTTACTAAATTGAATTATAATTTTAATTCTATAATTCAGTAAATACTTATTTTTAGTTATATTTAACTATTAATTACTTTTGAAATCAATCACATATTTTACAATAGAATAATATAAAAATAATTGACATATTCATAAATAGCATTAATATTATAAGATTTAATAAATATTTTTCTTTTAATTTTTGTTTAATTAGTATATTAATCTTTTGATATAATTTTCTTTTTTGAAATGCTAATATCTAACTTAAATTTTCCAGATTAGTAAAAAAAATCTTTTAATTTTTCTTTTCCTTTTTATTATTTTTTTTTTATTTTTGATTAATAAATAAATATATATAGTTTATTGTTCAATTTTGATAAATATAATTTTTAATATACTGTATATTATTATTAACCAAATATTTTAATTGGCTGAAAAAGTGAATACATATTTGTATCAATTGCATTTATAAAAAAGTTGGTTTATGTAATACAAATTTGAAGATAAATTTTAGGCAATCATATTACATAAAATTTTATATAAATTACATCTAATAAAATTAAACAGGTCTATTGTTTAATTATTTTAAAAAAATTTATTGAAATTGATTTAGTGATGTAAAATGTATAACTATTATATGCACTTTCAGCAATCATAAATAATAATGCTAAAATATATTTTAAATAAAATAAAAATGTTTTTTTTTTACAATTGAAAAAAATACATTGTAAAATAAATTAATAAAAATAATTTTTTTTATTATGAGTAATTTATGTAATATTTGTATTTATAATATTTATAAGAAATATATTTTGTTATTTTACATAGAATGTAAATACATAATATTTTTTTATAGTTAATATTAAACTGATTTTTTTACATGAGATTAATAATTTTATGGGAATAAATAATACTTCATATAAAAAAAATAATATTTTATCATTAATGTGAAATTAGAGATATTAAACAATCCCAAATAATTGAAACAAATTAAAAAATTATGAGTTATATAAAAGTCTAATTGCTTATCTATAATAAGTAACTTTTGATAAAAATTGTTATAATTAATTTTATTAATAACTTTTAAAGAAATATAAACTTTAAAATTGACAATTTTTATGAGACTGTTAAGGTAAGACCTAATTCTTAGGACTGGATCCTAAGTTTCAAAAATTAAGATTATAGATTTTCGCATAAGTTTAATATATATTTTTAATAAATATTCAATTAATATATTATCTTTAAAAAGTAAAATATACTACTAGCAAAATAAAAATTTTCTCTAGAACTGGCAAATTTATTAGAACTTTTAGGACTATTTAGAACTATTTAACATCCTTAGATAATAAATTATGACATAATGTAATTTAAATTTGACTAAACAAATTTAGAGTATTATTTTTAGATTTATATTTTTGGGTCTTTAAATTTATGTTATGTAAATACATATGAACAAAACAACATATAACTTTCTATCCATTCATTCATCCAATAATTGCATCATTATTTAACAAAATTATCCTTATTTATTTTATTGATAAACATTCTAGTCTAGACATTCGTTTTTTAAAATTTCTTAAATAATTATACTATCAACTATTACTAAAATGATATTATTCAGGAATGACACATTTAGGATATTTATATTCATTTTTGATTTAACAAAGAGTTTAATAATTAAACAATCTTTGAATTACTTTTATCATCATAGTTTTTATATATCAATAAATCCATCCCTCTCTCAAAAAAAATATATATATACTGTAGTATATATGGGACCTTTGCAATAGAAAGGCCGGAAAAATCAAAAATGAGTTAATACTAAATTTGAACATATTTCAGCCTAAAAATCATATTTGGCACATAAAAGTAAAATTAATTTTTCCCGGCAGTTTCCCCCCTTTCTATTGCAAAGGCCCCGCCAAGTTTTCTTTTTTTTAATAAAAAAATAAAATAAATGATATGATATTATATGAAATAATGAAATAAATGAATTATAAATCATACTGCGTAACCCTTTTAAATCCTTTTATGGGATTTTGCTTGATTCCTTCTTAAAATATTTACCCTATGACAAATCATCAATATAATGTAATTACTTCAAAAAATGAACATTTATAACAAGATATTCTATTATTCAATATATACTTAAATATATACTTTACTTATAGATCAAAATGTATAGAAATGATGACAGATGATGGTTGGATACGACAACTATACGACAAATCGATTCCTTATTGAGGTAGCTCCCAATTAGGAGAAATCCAAATTAACGTTAAACAAACCTCTTTTCTATAAAAGGTTTAAATCAACAAATCTTTAGCATAAATAAATTTTTGAAACAAATTAATAATTTCATACAATGGCCGCAATATTACAATTTAGAACACGAGTGCTGTTCCTTTTGGGCATAATATTATTTTTTATAATGGCTTTTTTTTATACTCTTTCAACCAGATTACCAACATATGAAATGGGTGATTATAGCCCTCACGTTATTTCGAATAACGTCGACTATAATCCGTCGTCACAAGAAATTAAGAAATTTCTTGATGTTGAAGTTTATGAAAACATAATAGTCAATGTTGAACCTGAAGAAAAATTTTTAGCATACTTTACTCATAGTGGATATCATAATCAAAGGATTGCACTTGAGAACGCTTTATTATTATCAAAATTATTAAATCGAACATTACTTATCCCACCAGTTTTACTTGGACCACCAATTCCTTGGGTTAGATTTGATAAAATGTATGAAAGATTATTTTTATCTACAAAGAATGGATTGGATCATTGTATAGATATACCAAATGAATATCCATTACCGGCCGAATGTCTTGATTATTATACTTATACATCAGTTTCTTGGGACTTTTTATTGGATATGAAACCAATTAGAAAATGGAATAAATTAATCGATCGAATTGATCATTCTTTTGAATGGCTTGAAAGTAACCTTGGTATTAAAAAGGATGAAGATATACATTTTATTAAGGATTCAGCATTATGGGATTATAGGATTTATGATAAGAAGGATAGTGATTTAAAAATGAATGATAAATATAAAAGAAAACTTACAATCGAACAATTATATAAAATTGATAAAAAAGTAATTCATTTGGGATCATTATTTGGATCATATCGTGTAATACCTGAGTTACCTACTAATAAAGAACATTTGAAATTTATTAAACAACATCTCGTACCACATAATTCATTTATACAAAAAGCTGCTGAACGAGTAGTTGAACAATTGGGCGGAGAAAAGAATTTTATTGGACTACATATACGTGTTTCGGATGGGTTTTTTATGAAAACTGCTCGTCAAAATATTGATTTAATGTATCACACCATTATTAACAATTATACAAATCTTACACCTGAAGAAATTGATAAATTAGAAGGTGGTACTCATTATCAAGATATATTAGAAGACGATAGTGTAGATTTAGGCGATGAAAATCCATATAATAAAATGGCAAAAATAACGAAAAAGGACGAAAATCAAATGGCGGGAACAGGAAGCTTAAATAGCAAAAGGGCTTATATACCAGAACTTTCAAACAAAATTAATTGTAAAAGTTCACTTCATCCACTTGATCAAGGTGTTAATACTGTTATATTTATAGCTACTGATGCAGCGTCTCCTAGAACCAATCCTTTATTATTTAAATTTTTTAACACTTTTCCTTGTGTATTTGTTTTAGATGATTTTGGGCAAGATTTAATTGATATAAAGTATGTTAGAAATGCTCAAGATAAAACCCCTTTAGCAAAGTATCTTATCCCTATGTTGGATGCTATGATCTCTGCTAAAGGTTTTCAATTTATGGGCACTCCTAAATCTACTTTTAGTAATTATATTAATACAACTTTACATCCTATTTACACTGGAAAAGAATTAACGATTAAAATTACGACAAATTAGAATCATCTGCAAAAAATTTCATTCATACTATAACATTTACATCTTTGATATAAATTATATTCATTAAACAACACATTATCGACTTTAAAACTTTATCTCGTTCTTAAATTTACCATCCATACTCTAAAACGGTGAGGTTATGATTACTTGATCATAATGAAGCTCTAAGATCATCAAACACATTCTTTAATGTTTTTCTAAAGGACACACTATCCGTCTGTTTACATGTTTTATAACTGCTAATACTAAACTTAATTCCTTCTTTTCCAATACTATAATTGACTCCATATCCTTCAGGCACAACAGCTCCAAATCCACCATAAAAATAATCACCCGGGCTCATATTAGATGATGAAAGTTTGAAATACATTGATTGTATATATGTTGGGTCGGTAAAAATGTGCGCACGTGATTTTTCCTCTTCACTTTGGATTTGACATCTTAATCCTAACAAATGTCGATCAACGCCTTTACCTAATTGAAAAAAATATATTAAAATAAATAAATAGAAACATTTGATAATTTTTATTAAAATTTCGTACCATTGGTAGCTGAAATCATGTATTCAATATGAGCTTTGATTGCATTTGTGAATAAAGCAAGCTTTTGTTCTTTCTATTAAAAACAACAACAAAAAAAAATATTAAAAAATTAAGTAATTGAATTAAAAATATTTATCATTTGATAACCAACCAAATTTATGAAAGATGATACCTTGATATCTTTATCATCAAAAGCTTTTGTAAAGGCTACACTATCGACTGAACAAGACCTCACTGTTTCTGTGCGTCCATGTAAAAATCCTCTGGTAGAGGCTGATTCATAAGTCGGACATGGTTCTCCATATTGCCGATAATAAGCAAGCTGCAAAGCCATTTGGACAAACGCGTCCGGACTGAATTTAGCTTTAAATATGAATAAATACATATATATAAACATAAGTAAAATTATATTTATTTATAAATATATATATTTTGATAATGTATCAAAAAAATTAATTATATACCGGTTTTAAGCCAATTCGAACCGTATTCATTATAGTGCAACAAAACACTATCAACGTTATCAATGACCTTCTGAATATTAGATTGTGCCTTATTAATGACGGTTTCCAGTGAAGAATCATTGACCCATTTAAGATGTTTAGGGACAGGAAGTGAGATTGAATAACTGTTTTTTGGGTCCTGCGCTGGCTCCCTTTAAAAAAAAATTTTTTAACTATGATTTATGAACACAAAATATTTAATTTTTATGGTGAAATATAAATTAAATTTAAACAACTTACTTTGATACAATATCATCAAAGATACGCCCAGGAATAACTGCATCGGCAGGGGAATGCTTATCATTTTTAAATAAATGATCAATCATAATTATTTCAAAAAAAGTAATTTTCGAAACACTGAAACAGTAATAATACCTCTCCGTTGACTCCAGCACGTCCATTGCTCTGAACAATAAATTGAAGAGATTTGTCGAACCAACGATTACGACCATTAAATGCATGGAAAAGATTGTGGTGAGTAATGTCTATATCACTATCGGTCGAGTAATCATCTAATGCAACGCAAAACAATGCCGTATCGATTACTTCTAAATTAAATCGATTTTCTGGTATAGATTCAAGTGATTTGCGTGCCTAGAAGGTAGACGTATAAATGAATGCCGAACATATGAATACATGAATGGTCAGTTATTTAATATTTACCGCAGCCCAAATGTCTCGATGTTCGGCAGTCAACAAACCAATAGGAAGTTGTAGCTCGCTGGTATTATTGACTTGTTCAACTATCGATTTAAGTTGCCTACAAATAATAGATGAGATCAAAATAAGAATTTAAATTCATAAAATTCATAAAATATTTTAGTTAAACCTTTCAATATCCTTGATAGGGATCCTTGCTCCCCCTTCGCCTAAAACTTGAACATTAAAAATTTGGTCCCTAAACAAGACGATTATATGTTTGGCAGTAGTCGGCCAGGAGGAAATAATCCGATCAGACGGAAAATCAGCAATTCGAGATGTACCAAATTGTTTTCTATATTGGTTCATACATAAGGGACCTTGACGCGTAGTCTCCGGAGGTATTAATTCACTTTGTTACAAGAATATCAAATATTAATGAATATTCTTGATTATAAAACCAATATTAGAAAGTATAAAGATCATTACATACTTGTTAATCGCATCATTGAAACTCAATAAATTGGAAATAAAACCGGCCGCTCTGTTTATCTGAAAATCTGTAACTTGTCCCTTTGGTAAGGTTTGCTTGAGAATCCCATTAGGATGATCTTTGAATTCGCACCACCAATTAACGTTTATAAGCGTGGGTTCACGCCATTCAAGGTAAGCTTTATTCAACCAGAGATTTTCAAGCCAACTATACTAATTATCAAATAAAAATCTCGTTCATTAAGCGATCATAGTAATTATATGGTATTTTCACGTTCAAATGCTTGTACCTTTTCGAATTTATCTAATTCATGCAACCTTGACTGAAGAACTTCACCTAAACCGCCAACTTTAACAAATTCATCGATTACATTAACAGCACGAGCATAGTCTTCAGACCTAAAAATTGGTAGCAAACTTTTTTTGTAACGTTCAGCAGTTTCTTGTAATGTTGGAATGGGTTGACGTGGAATAATATGCTGGTTGGAAAAGGTTTTTGGTTTTTCCGTATCAATTTGCAAAGAAAAATTACGCGAAACAATTGGGAATAAAGATTTATATAAATATTGAGAGTGTCTTTTAATAATAGTATTTGGTAAGATTCGAACTAATGACGCTCTAGTGATTAACATTTTATATTAGTGAACTCTAATGCTATGCTAAAGAAAATAATGTATAATAATTAGACGCAAGATGTTTGTATAACAACACAATGTTCCGCGAGGGTTACACAAACAACGAATCCTTTGATAACATTTATTTAATATATATTGCTTTGGTGTGAAAATTTAGCTTCTAACAAGCATTCACCATTGCTTTCAATGCTTCAATTAAATCACCTTTATGCTCCCTCAAGTATTTATCAGCTTCATGCTTCACTACATCCATTTCCTTCATCTAAATAAAACAATCATGAGTAATAGACAATAAATAAACCAAATAAAGGATATCAAAAGAATCTTACAATAAATTCAATATCTTCTCTTGATACTTTAATTTTCTCGGAATCCTTTTGTCTTTATTGATTAAAAAGTGATCCAAATTAATTTTTAAATACGATCAAAAACTTTTGTTGACAATAACAGAAATAAATAATCATTACTTTTGGAGTTTTTGGTCATTACGACGTTTTTTCTCTTCATTGACAATTTCTTCATTAACGATGTTTAAAGCCTTTCAAAAATATATATGAATAAACCCAATTTAGAAAATTTTATAATCTTGCCATACGATTAAAAAAACATCGCAGATCAAACGAATAAGCAATACGTGATTTCACCTTATCCAATTTCGATTCATCAATTCCTTCACCTTCAGCTCTTTCAGCAACGTATCCTTCGACAGCTTGCATATCCTTTTTAGCCTGCCCTTTAAAGCCTTTTTGTTGAGGTTCTTCTACTGCTTGATCATCATCAACATTTGTTGTTGATTCCTTTTCTTTTTCCTTTTCTTTCGCTTGTTTATTATCCTTCGATGATAAATGAGACTGTTGTGAATTTGGGTAAGCTGCTTGTGTCGTTACCGTTGTTGTTGCTGTTGTTGCTGTTGTTGCTGTCGGTGATGATGATTTATTATTAGCATTATTTGCCGATGTATCCGAAGTATTATTATTACTACTATTTTTATTTTTTTTCTTTTGCTTCTTATTAGTCATTTTAATTAAATTCAAGCAAAAAAGACGATTTGGTGTCGTCTTTTATGTAAAGTTTGGTATTACAGATATCATGTGACTTTACACCATAAAATGTTAAAACGTACAAAGTTTTATTTATTTGGTATTACCAAAGAAAAAAATTATTATTATATATACAAAAACTATTTTTTTTATTTTAATATTTTTTAATGGAGTCTGAGAATTAAAAAAAAAATATATATTTATATATATATAAATATAATCTATAATATCCGCTATCTATTGTAATTATTATTATATTAATTAATTATTATTGTTACATCATGGTTATTATTATTGTTGTTTGTAATATTGATCTTGCGGATATTGTCCTCGTAGGTCTTGATCATAAGTTTCTGAAGTGGCAGGTTCATTAGGCATTCCAATTTCGGAAGTATAAGATGAAGTTTCTGTATAGTTATCATCATAATGACTTGGATGAACTGTCATAGTAGCCATTTGTTGTTTCTTACGATCTTGTCGCTTAACTCTACGAAGTCTCGCTCGTTCCCAGTCTTCCCAACGTTTCAATGGTACTTTAGAAGGGTCAAACGAACCATCTTTTTTACCATGATCATCACCTTTGCCTTCACCTTCAACCTTTCTAGTTTCTCCCCATGAAAAATCATCGAAATGCCAATATGCATAAGTTGGTAATACAAAATTCCATACTGGCAATGCCAATAAATAAATTAACATCCATGTAACATATACCAACTTTCTTGTTGTAAGAAAAATTAATACAGCTGGCAATCCAAGAACGGCTGCCAACATAAGTAGCGGTATAGATTCGGAGAAATTGCTTGGCGGCTTTATAAAAGTTGATATAATTAATATAAAAGTCAACATTATAGCCACAGGTAAAACGACCGTGCCCATCAATTCCATAAACACTACAAACTGCATGGAAAAGCAGAAAGTACCACAAAGATTACGAACTAACACTAATTCCATTAGATTATGAATTGTTGAGTTAATCCATCGACGACGTTGGGAAAGTAAAACTTTGAATTCATCAGGAACAACGGTTTTACACACGGCCCGTGGACAGAAAGTCATTTTTCTTTGAGGGAAATTTCTAAGCATAAGTGTTGTCAAGAAACGATCTTCACCAAGCAACAGCAAATTCTTTTGATGAAGAGTGGTAACTACATTTTGTGAATATTCTTGAACGATTTCTGGTTTTGTAATAATTGGTACCCAATCATCATCTCCCTTCCTTACTTTAAGACGGTACATACAGAAGCAACCTGGTAGACAAGTTACACCACCAAATACTGACTCAAAACCTTTACCCAAATGATGAGAAATATAGTATTCAAAAACTTGAATAGCCGTAACCCAAGAATCACGCTTATTTGCAATCTTTGTTTCACCGCAAAGACCCATAATGAGAGGATCATTGCACATACAATTGATTAACAATCTTAATGAATCAGGGTAAACTTTAGTATCTGCATCAACCTATTCAGATCAAGAGTGTAAAAGGAAGATAAGTTTCGTAAAAATTTTTTTATAATGAATTTTATACAGATCAACTCATACCATAAGAACGATTTCAAAAAAATCGGGAGTAACGCCCATCAAATGATGAATTTTTCTAAATAAATCAAAATCCAAAGCGCACATACGATCGTTATACGTTAAACGACTAAAGAAATTCATTAGAATTAATTGAGAATCCCGTTTTCCACGATTTCCGGGTTTAGGTTTTCCTTGTTCCGATGAAGCACCACATTTTACAACAAGTACCATTGGCACTTTTCGTTCCTTCCATGCTAAAGGAAAAAAATATAAATAAACCAGTGTAAATTATCATATACATTAATGTGCGTTACCATATTTTAAAGAAATAAGCGACACTTAAAATTATTCACAAAAACGTCATAGTGCGCTCATTTTCAGTAAAAATACGTAGTATGATAATTCAAATTACTTACGGAAATAACCAGCAAAAACTTTTGCCATATTATGTTGCTTAGCTCCTGACGCAACGGCAATATAACTTTGAGCTTGTGGGTCTTTAAATTCTTCATCTATTTCCATCATTTCTATACAAATATCCGGTGTACTTTTATCATTTCCGCTACCAGTAATAATACCATCGCATATAACAAATAAAAGTTTACGATCATCCGGATAATCAGTCGAAGCCATTGATTCACATGTCGTACGCAAACCAGCTTCACCCTCAGAGTAACAAGTAACTAACAACACCGTGTAAAGATCATTTCCAATTCGATCCATGTTAATTGTTTTTTTACCCAAACCGGAGTTATTTCTATGAATCCATGGTGAATTACGATTGCCTCCGACAAGTACTTGTGACGATGGAACAGCCTTTTTTACTTCCTTTGGCTCATGTGCAAGACGATGTGAAAGGAACCAAGCAAAAATACAAGCCATGAAAAATCTACACATAACAATCCCCAATATTACAATAAGCATAATTAAATTGAATATATCGGAGGTGAAACATCCAATTGTTTTTTTATCGATATTTCCTACATAATATTTTGCATTTAGGCAACTTATCGTTTGTTTTAAATTTTCTTGATTGAAAAATAAACGAGTTGCATCTTTGCCACCCTCAGGATGATCAGTGTTTAGAATATCACGAATAATCTTATCAGCTAAATCATTTTGAATAGGGTTTGGATGCGCATCCATGTATGAATTCATATTGAGAACAGCACCAGCAATTACAAGATAATTCTTCATATTTCCGACTTGTTCCCAATCGAATCCAACGAATTTTGTTGTATTTACAAGTTGATATTGAGCAATGGCAGCCTCTGTAAGTTTTGGGAGAGGACAATTGGGTCCATTAGTACATAAAGGTGTAGTTACTGCAGCAAACTTTTGTATTTCCGGTAGAAGGCATTGTGGGATCTCATTAAGATTCCGCTTGAATTTGTTCGTTATATCATAACCAGGTCCATGAGTTTTTATTTCTTCGAAGAAATTAAACTCATTTGTTAATGCTTGGCTTATGTTAAACTGGTAACCAAGAATTCCAAGCACGCCTAAATAGAATTGCAAATAAGAAACTGGAATTTGAAAAAATTTCATCAAGCAATAAATTTTTACATATTGTTCTTACCGTCCACTTCACCAAAACGTAAAAAATTAGCAGCATTATTAGCTTGAGACTCGGGACATAGGACAGGTCTAAAACCAACAGTCAAGAATGCTACAATACCGCCCATGATGGCAGCAATGAAACATAATGCAAACTTTTCTCTCCATGCCTGCCGAGATTGTTTATCAGATAAACCAAATTTTGATAATAAGACGCTTGGAGCCCAAAAGGTGATTGCACGAGCAAACAGTATCCAAGGATCGAAAGGTTTTCTCTCTTTTTTACCAGTAAGTAAAGGAGAAGCAGGCTGGTATCTTTCAGGTCTACTTAGAGACTTTCCTCTTCGGAGAATACTTGATCTATTTGTTGGAGGCGCGTAAGTCGCGTCTTCCATTTTGTTAAATAATTTCGCCCAGCTACGATAAAATCTTTTTTTAAAAAATTTTTATATAATTTTTTTTTTTTCAAATACAGAAAAAAAAAGGAGTTTGAATAAAAAAAATTTTACGTTTCATGTTTATTTTAAGAATTCTAATATTGTAGGGGCATTTTGTGAGTAACCTTCAAAGAAAAGTTGGAATAGATCAGTTTTTACGGAGATCGAATTTACCATTTATTCTAAGCCAATATTAAAATAAACCCGAAACCCCAAAAGTTTCTAAAAATATTCCAATTCAGGTGATTGATAATTAACGTAATGAAAAAAAGGAGAAAAAAAGGGTCACAATCTCCTTATTATCATGTAGACATTGCATGTTAATTGTTTTAAAGATAAATAAATAAAATCCATTTTAAAATGATTTATCATATTTATAGTGGCGTGCCAAACGGAAGGATAAATTGATGTGGCTTAATGCTTAGTTACTTAAAAATAGAAATAAAGAATGGTGTCATTTCACATTCTATTCTATGTTTCTTAAAAAAAAGGGTTCGATACAATAGACAATTTAGACAATTGAAATCTTTTAACTTGGTTGTTACGAAGGGAAAGTTAATGCTCCTTGCAAAGAGGTTGATGAAGTCGAACGCGGTCAAGACGAAATCGAACCAAGTGTTTCATTATTATTGATTGTATGTATATTGAAGTTATAAAAAATGATACTGTAATCAAGATAAGAAATGAAGATGCTGTGACATGCATTTTGGCGATGCAAAAACTTGAACACAAACTAATTTAGGTAACGATGCAATTAGGAGTAAAACAAAATGGCTAATTTACTTTAAAAGGGTCGATAAATAAATTATTTATTATTATCGCCCAACATTTTAATATTTTTTTATTTTCCAATGACTTTTTACTAAGGATTTGGACCAATAATCTAAAGTACATTTATGATATTATCTCAATGATCTTTTTGGAGACGCATAAATTGCATCTTCTCCATTTATTATTAAATCGCTTCGTCCAAATCAATAGTTTTTTTTTCAAAAACTGAAAAGGGTCGAAATAATAAGATTGTTTCATGTTTATTTTAAGAATTAGATTTTTTATTTATCAAATATCAAATTATTGTTAATTCTAAGCCAATCAAAGCCAATATTAATATAAATATGTTTTTGGTAATAACTCGAGGCGATGCAGATTAGTTTTTTTTAAAAAAAAAATCAAGAATTATTTATTTATTATATAATGTAAAAACTTTGATATTCTAAATAAGTGCTAAGATTAGATAATTTATAAATAGAAATTAGACATATTTTTTTTAAATATTTGAAGTGATCTCAAAAATAAATACCGTATTGGGTGGTGCTTAAAGTCGAGATTTGTATTATAAATATTTCTACCCTTATTTTGTAAAAAAAAATATGAATTTTTTTTTTAAATAAAAAAATTTACTAAATAAAAATTTATAAATTCAAAATAAATTTTTAAAACCATACTTTATTTAATACTTAAAATAAAAACTTTATAAAATAAATAAATATTTTTAACTATAAGGGTGGTAATCCTAATCACCTTTAATCCTAATTCCCAACTCTAATTTCTAATCCCAAATATAATATCACATGATCCGGACCCGTTATTTTAAGTAAATGTCATAAAAATATATATATATATGATAAAATAATTACTTAATAAATAATTTATGAATATTTTTAAAAAAAAATTTTTATTCATTTTATAATTACCTCCTATATAATCACATCCCTTATTAAGATGCATTTACAAATTTAATTAGATTGGATTTTCATGAGTGATCGTCCTATATAAGAAAAACTGTTATATAAGTTATTCAAAAAATTTTTTATATAGATTACAATACATTTTCATGAGACTAAAATAATAATCTTTGTAATAAAACATGAACAAATATACTAACATAACTGAAATACTCATACTATATTGCTACATATTTCTTTAATTCTGCTAATCTCATCTCACACTATTAAATTACTATCTACCTCTAAAGCTATATCTGAAACAAAGTAATGTATAGAATAAATACTAAATCACTAGCTTAACTATATTTCATTCATTAAAGGATGAAAAATAAAAGAAAGCAAAAAATAAAGATTTAGTGAAAGTAAATAGAAAAAAGTTATTCTTTTATATAATATTTGTTATATATGTTTTGTAAAAAAATTTCTTAAAAAATACTTAAAGAATAAAAAGTATAAATAAAGAAATAATAGAAGAAAACATCACAGATATACAAAGATTGATCTTATAAAAACCATTAATACAATAACAAAAATCCTTTATCAAAGAAAACATATAAAAAAGAAAACCTTTATAAATGTATTTGACAAAATTTAAGTCTTATTTCAAGAAATTGAGCCTACTTAGGGAATTTTCAATTAGCTTTACTTGTCAATTTGATTACTTAAACATAATAAGCAAATAATAAAATGTATAAAAAATTAATTGTTTTAATTTGATATCTTCTTTTCTTATTAATAACGTGAAAATTAATTATTTTAAACTAGACCTTGCTTATTATTTAGATTCAATAAATACAAGTAATAAAGATTTAAATACAATAGCAAATCTTAACATGTTTATAATATCAAAAATGATTAATCATAAAAAGAAAAGAATGTCAAATATATAGAAATAAATTGAGAATATTCTTGAAAAATATTCAGAAAATACTTATATCTTAAATATTAATAATTATCATATTATTTAGATTTAAAGATGGTTGGATACTACTAACATGTCTTAAGTCAGTATTGGAAAATTAGACAATTTTAATAGTTTTAAACAGGTTTTAGACACAATTTTATATATCCAAAACCTTGTCTAAAATTAAAAAATGTGTCCAAAACCCATCAATATCTTAAGTAATATATATAATAATTATTATTGTGAATTTATATCTAATTCTCATAATATTATAAAATAAAGTAAATAATCTAAAGATTATTAATGCTGAATGGATTAATAAGCATCTTGAAGAATAATTTATAAAAAATCTAAGTGTTAAATATCAAAATCATAGCCAGAATATTGAAGGAGTAAAGTATATTGATGATAAGGTTATAGATAGATCAATAATTCACAGTTACGATAATAGATTAGTAAAAAAAAGGATAATCAATATATGCAAAATACTATTCTTATTGATTATATAGAAAATAACTTAAAAAGCTTAAGTGAATATAAGACTGCTTTTTAAATTATATATTATCAAAAGCTAATGCAAATGTATCTTTTTAATAATGCTATTCCTATTATTATAAATTAGCTTTGATAGTTTTACATTTATAAGATGATTATTTTTTTTTTTTTTTTTTTTTTTTAGTGCGTTAGCAGGTAATGGAACTATAGTATATTATTATAACCTAAGCTGTGTGCTATGGGGTGACTACCTAAGGTCTCAACATAATTTTTCATATGAAACAACCATTAACTTGCACTAACCCCGAAGGTTGCCATCTAGGAATAGACTCTACACAACCCTTTTAAGGGGCATGTGTAGGTACCTAGACCTCTAGAGGTCCTATCAAATTTGGATAGAGGGATCACTTCAGCTCATAAAGTCGTCACTTCTATGCTTTACCAAAGTCAAGTAGTTTACAATTTGCCTTACGCCCACATAGTGCATTATTGAACCAGTGACCGAGAGTAACCCTACTTAACAAGGTGACTTTGTATCCATTTCGTCAAATAACTCAGGAATCGAACTGGGCTTCTAACCCTAGTGATAGCTCGATTAGACAGTGCTGCAGTGTGCAATGCAGTCTATTATCACCGTTGATCTAATCTACTAATTACTGGTCAATCACTTCCTTAATTTATATACAATCTTATGATCATATACAGAAATAAGGACCCCTGCTGTGTGAGACGTAAAACAGTATTCACTACAGACCTGTCAGCGAAGGCTAAATTTCTGTTGATCCCTAGCTTCATTTGCATCTACTTGTTCTTACACTGTGCAGTATTTAGGCATAATCAACATTGATCGACAGATCAATTAACCAGTTTTATACGCATATTAGTACATACGCCCATCGTATTCAGTACATATAAAATTCTTATAAAAATCATCTAGTTTTATGTATCGGCTGATACCTGAACTGATAGCCTATTGCTGTATAATAAAACTTTAGCTTAATAGAAGACTCATGGTTTAACCACTGAGCCAGGAACGCCAGTCCTACAAATCAATTTTACTACTTTTTTTTTTTTTTTTAAAGACGCGGTAAAGCATTTATTTATTTAAAATTCAAAATTCAATTAAAAAAAGAAAATTCCCAAGACGGATACAAAAGTAGAAAAATAAAGTAAATGCTGCTTAGCCTTCTTCAAAGGGTTTAACCAACTCTGACCAAACCAACTGGTTGTCCCGTCATGTTCTTAATCAACTGCTATGAGAAGAAAAGTCACTACATGACTAAAGAGAAGAGAAATAGACGACTAGTTTTCACTGCTTTAAAAAGAGGTCACAATCAACCATGAATGTAATAGTCATAAAATAAGTTAGTATATTTAGAAGTTGAAGAAATGTTAGAAGAATTGAGGGGAGAAGATGATGGTATGGGGACGTGAATATTTTTGGGAGCTTTGGTATAAAGTTTTTTCTTTTTAGTTATTCCAAGTTACAATTCAGCGGCAATAGTCAAATCACATCTGGGGATCCAAATTAATGTTATAGCTTGGGGTCTGTACATGTTCGTAAAAATTATAAAGGATGGTCATGATTTTTTTGTTGCAATTTGTAAAGTTATTGATGCAGAAGAATAAATGGCTGGGAACGATTCCTTTGATCATA